CTGGTGCGGGGCTGGGAGCAGGTAGGACGGGTACGAGAAGGGGGCTGCTGTGAGAACGGGGCGCCTGCTGAGGAGCGCTCTGCTGCCTCCCGTCATCCTGCAGGTGACCCGCACGGCCTGCGGCAGTCCTGCACAGTCCCCTCCTCCAGGGAGGCTGACCCGGCCGGCGAGGAGCCTTGCGAGGCTAGCCGCGCCCCTCCTCGTACCGATCCCAGCGCCCCGCTCCCCTACCTCCCACACCCCTCACCTCACGGCTCCCCTCACGGGTCCCACCGGGCGGCGCTCACCCAACCGCCCCGGGAGGCGGGACACACAGCGGACCCGCCCACCCGGCCTGGTCCTGGGCCGCGCAGCCAGCGGTGATTGGCGTTTCTTCTGACCAATGGGATGAGAGACTGCCGTCCCAAAAGGCTTGAGTGGCAGAGCCGCGGGCCAGTAGGAAGTCGCCGTCCCGGTGCGCGATCCTATCGGCAGCGGGGAGGGGGCGGGATGCGCCGCTCCGAGGGTCGCTGCGGGGGCGGTGTCTGCAACAAGATGGCGGTAGCGGGCAAAGGAGCGGTGGCCGCCTTGGTGAAGCCGATCTTCAGCCGGGACCTGCGCGAGGCGAAGCGGAGAGTGAGAGAACTGTACCGGGCCTGGTACCGAGAGGTGCCCAGCACCGGTGAGGGGCGCATGCGCGGGCGGGAGCGACAGCTCAAGGTCGTAACGGCCACCCCGTGGTGTTCTTAAAGGGCCCGTCGGTGGTGCTGGTACCGTCGGGGGTGAGGTGTCCCCTCGGTGCCCTTTCCCCGCTGCGTGTGGGACAAGGGGACGTGGTTGTTTGCGGCCTGAAAGCGGCTGCTGGGTTGTGGGGCCCTAGCTGGCCCGCTTGCCTCCACTGCCGGAGGTCTGGGCAGGAAACCCCCGTCTCCTCATTCCTTACGTGTCATTCGGTTTTCCTAGCCAAGCAAAAGAGAAATTAAGCTGTAACGTTACAGAACGGGGGTGTGTGGCATGACTGCCTGCTTCCTTAAAACTGCACTGGGACTCGTACTACGGCTGTTGTTCATGTGCCTTAATCGTATTAAGCTGGCAGACATTGCAAGAGCAAATGACTCTGTAGTGTTTCATACGGCCGAGTTGCATGCTGTCAGTGAAAAATAATGAAAAGTAATACAGATAGCCTGTGTGGGTGTTGTGTTTTTCGTAGTACACCTGTACCAGCTGGACATCACGGTGAAACAGGGGCGTAACAAGGTGCGAGAGATGTTCATGAAGAATGCCCACGTTACAGACCCACGGGTGGTAGACATGCTGGTTATTAAGGTACAAACAAGTTATTCCCTTTTTGTTGAAGCAGCATAGAATGTGAAAGGCCATAATTAATGTGGTGGAGGAGAGGGACAGTTTTATTTCAGCTTCTGCTAAGGAGGAGTTGTCTCTTGCAGTCCAAATGGGTTTCTCTCTGTCAACAAACCTGTTGATAAGGGATCAAGCTGCTTTTTAGCGTGCAGAGGGGTAGGGTCTTAGCTCGCATAAGTCAGAGATGCTAGAATGGGGATTTTTGTCACACAGTGTACTGGCTCTTCCAGACTGCAGATACTTAAAAGTGTATGCAAGCAAAACAGTAGTTTAAATACCAAATTTGTTGTCAGTTTGTTGTGGGTTTTTTGGGTTAGCATATATTTTCTAGTTGGGTTGGGGTTGGTTTTTCTTTGAAAACAATGGCAAAGAAAGGGGAGAAAGATGCTGCTAGCTAGTTTATGATTAAATATGACCTTTCTACTCTCTACAGTACTTCCTTATGTTGGGATGTGGTTTTCTTCACCAATGCTGAAACATCCATTAAAGTTTCAGTACTTGGCTTTGGGTGGCAGAACACCCCACCTTTGTAACGCATCTGGTCATGTCTCAGGCCTAAGAGGCCTGTCTGGTTCAATGTAATAATCAGCATGCCAAGAGTAGGGCAAGAGTTCAAAACAGATCTCTGCAGTTCTAATGCATTAGAAGGCTTTCAGTCGAGGACTGCTGGGCTCACCTGTTGCATTTCTTGCACTTAAGAGATAGTCTGGCTTTACATGAGTAAAAAATTCTGGAAAGAAAACCCTAGATAATATTATAGGTGACAATTCCAGGCAGTGTCATTCTGCCCCATGCTGCCTTGCCATCCTCTGAAACCAGTACAGTAATTCCTAGACCAGAGTCAGGAAGAAGTTATGTTTGATATCTCTGTGGTAGAGATACCAGTGCAAAGCACTTAGCAGCAGTTTTGCTTGGTTTCACAACTAACTGGCCACTACTAAAAAAATTAGAGGTGCATGAAAGTTGGGAATGTGGTGTAGAATTTTATGGGGGTGCCAGTCATGAGAGAAACATGAGAAGTTCTAAGAAGGTTCCCTTGCCTATTCCACAGGGCTGGGAAGCTGCACTGTAGAGACAAGCGACTTGTTAGTACAAGACATGAAGCTGTACAGTCACAAGGCAGGAACAATATATATATTTGTGTCACAGCATATGTGATGCAGGCTGCCTTTAGGAGTACAGAACTGTTGATGTAGCTATCTCAAGGGTGTTTCTAAGTGCATTCAAATACCTTTCATAGTGCTGTATAGTTAGATTTGGGCTCTAATTGAGAATTAGTCTAAAATTATTTTGTCTGTATGCAGGGAAAAATGGAACTTCAAGAAACCATCAATGTATGGAAGCAAAGAACTCACATCATGAGGTATTTCCACGAGACAGAAACCCCACAACCTAAAGACTTTCTTTCCAAATTCTATGCAGGCCACAATCCCTGAGAGATCGACTCTTGTGTCCTCCTGCCTTGTATTATAAATAAAGTTCTATGCACTAGAAAATAAAAAATCCATACAGAGAGATTGTATAGCATGTTAGGAGCCTAATGACTAACTGAATCCAGCATGTGTGCAATTCGTTATGATCTGTATGAAGAGCTGTGATTGCCTAGTTTTGCCAGTGTGTATTTCCAGTAGATGGAGTTTGTCCCATCACTTGCTCTGGAGTGTCTGCTGAGTCACCAGAATGCATCCTGGCTGTGGGGCTTTCTGTTTAGCCTGCAGCCCTGTGCATAAGCCTCAGCCCCATGGAAGAAAGAGTGGGTCTTCAGAAAAGCCAGTGTAGTTGCAGAAATATTCTCATGCTTGAGGCCCATCTGTATTTATACAGTGTTATGCAATTTCATGCTATTACTGTGTTGACCTTGAGTTTTTTAATTGGACATTAGTCTCTACTTCCTCACAGAGAATGGCATAAAATCCAATAGGCAAATACAACCATTTGTGCAGTAAAAAGATCAGCAATTTCCCTGCTGTAAAGTAAAATTACCTGGAAAAACAGGAATCTGCACTGTTGCCTATAATAGGGAGGCTCTATTAGAACTTCTGAGGCTTTGCAGAAGGTGGTGTCCTATCACCTTAATTGAATCAGGAATCACTAGCTCTGTTTTGAGAAGGGTAAGGACAATTTGTTTTCTCACCAGTCAGAACAGGTTTTCAGGAGGTAACTCGTGCTGGAGCTCCCCCGTGCGTGATCAGCACTGAATCTTTGTAGTATGCTCAAACTTCTTTTCATCTATGGCCAAGTAATGGGGCATTCTTCCCCATCTGCGGCCTGTAAAGCAGCACTCCTCAGGGATGTGTATGTCGGGGCTTTGGTGTTTTTAAAGACAGGATTGACATAGTCAGGAAGAGCCAGGAGAGATGGTAGGATAAAATAGTGATAAGGAATTTGGCAGTATAGAAAAAAGGAGCAGGGCCATATTTAGCTCACAGGAACAGATGAACTGGAGCAACCCTTCTCAGGCAGTTTTGCGGGATGAAGGGGGCAACTTGAACAGTGGTGACTCAAGAACCTGCCAGCTGCCTTAAGCTCTTAGGTTACAGTTCACTTAGATTGCAGCCTCCCTTTCTCTCAGTAGCTACAGTTACAGAGCGAACATGGAAAGCAGGGTGAAGTAAAAAGGGAGCAAATGTGGCTGTTGTAACTATACACAGTGCTAATGTGTCCAACATTAGAAGAAACTTTTTAACATTACATGAATACTGAAGGGAAAAGTGGGCATTGGAGAGAAGAGGCAAGGTGTAGCGATAGAGAGAGACACTGGGGTAATGCTGGCTTGGGGAAAAAAAAAACCAATTTTTTCCTAACCTCTCAAGGTATTTGAGAAAACAGATGGTCTGATGTGACTGAAGTTACTCTACACATGCCCTAATTGTAGAAAAGACCTTTTAAAGTCTACTATGCAAGGATTTAATTAGAGTAGTAAATACGAAGAGTTGAAGTTTATAGCCTGTTCAGAAAATAAATATAATAGGGCTCGTACAGAAGTAAGTAGCGAACTGCCAAGGAAATAGTAGGAATTTGGAGTCAGTGTTCAGAGATTCTCACTGTTCAGAGATTAAATGCTGTAAGACATCAGTGAGTTAGTTTGCCACTCGTGATCTTAATCTTTCACCAAATCTACTCAAAACTTTTAACTCTGTGATAATATTGTAGTTAATTATCAGTGAGGTGAAATTAATGATACAGTCCCCATCAGACAGACGTGCTAGGCTGTAAACCAGCATTTGAACTGCAGTGCCAGTGTCAATATGCACTCCATTATTTTAATGGGGCTGCTGCTTCCTTTAGAGTATCTGTCACATACTGTAGATTAGTGCTGAGTTATGGAAAGTATTCTTGGGAAGAAATAAATATGCAGAAAGCATCTGTAGTGGAGCAGATGTAGAGGTAGAAAGGTTGAGACAGAAATGCTCAAGACCAAACACAAAACCAATGTCATACATCTTAATCTCTTGATCTTTAATTGTTTCCATGCTGCTAATACAAGGAATCCCAAGCAGTCTCTGCTGAGGTGAGCATGTGTGAGGGTGCAGGGCCTATCAAGCACTTCCTTCAACCCGCATCTACAGATTCTGTCATACAGGTGTGCAGGACACTCACTGGCAAAGGGGACACAGAGCCCCCGTCCCGTTCAGGAAGGACAAAACACAGGTGACAGATGCTGGAACCATTGCTTTGCCAATGGCTTTCTCCCTTCTGTTCTTCTGTGACACTTCTGCAAATATAATAAGAAGCCATTACTCTTCAGATACGTGGTACTGAGCTCTAGTGAACCTCTCCCTCCCCCTGAACCACACAAATAGGGTTTACATAGAAGGAGTTTCTAACAGGTCACTGCAGTCTTTACAACATTTTCTTTGGTTTTAGCTGTGTGGTGCGTGCTGGAAAATCCCTTTATCAAATGGACTACACCAAACCAGTTATAAAGCAACACTATTTACAAGACCTTCTTTGAAACAGCTTCATTCTATAAAGAATCAAATACACCCAAACGCAAATCTTTACACAAGGCCAAGCCAAATGAAATGACATAAAATGGTGGAAAGTGTAATGCACTGCAGATGAAAGTGAGTAATTTCTGCTCTTCCTTTATCCAATGAATCTGAGTGGTCCCAGCTACTCCAGACACTTTGTTCCAATGGATTCTGGAATGCTTTTAAATTGTTCAGTTCTGTATCAAAATTTCAGGCAGTAAATGATTCTCTTACTTTAAAATAGTAACCCTGTGAGTTAGCAGAAGACTTTTAAATGGGTAAACATGTAGAATAGTATTATAGAATTGTTTAGGTTGTAAAAGATCCTTAAGATTGTTGAGTACAACCTTTACCCCAAGACTGCCAAGTCCACCACTAAGCCATGTCACTAAGCACCACGTTTACATGTCTTCTAACTACCTCCAGGGATGGCAATTCAACCACTTCCCTGGGCAGCCTGTTCCAATGCTTGAAAAGCCTTTGGGGAAAAAACATTTCCCAATATCCAATCTGAACCTCTCTTTGTGCAACTTGAGACCATTTCCTCTAGGCCTATTCCTTGTTAAGAGACCAGTCCTGACCTCTCTAAAACCTCCTTTCAGGTACTTGTAAGAAAGTGATAAGGTCCCCTCTTATCTTCTCTAAGCCTTCTCTTCTTCAGACTAAATTCCCTGCAGTGCCTTCAGCCATTCCTCATCAGACTTGTGCTCAACGCCTTTCACCAGCTTCACTGCTCTTCTCTGGACACGTAATAACACTGAAGTCCCTCTTTTCTGTCTGCAGTACACGCTGACTACAGTTCATTCTGATTCAAATGACAAGAGCTAAACCACAATTTATTCCAATCCCTAATGAATGCGTGTTGTGATTTCACGTTCAGATATTAGTCTGGCCTACTCTGCATAAAAGAACAGGAAAGTTAGTAGCCAGAGGCAACACTGTCTGTCTGTTTAACTGCAAATGCATCTTTTAAGCTATGGCTGTCTATATTTCCTGGTGCGAGAGGTTTCCCTGTCCCACACCAAACAGGAAGCATAATCAGATCGCTGGTGATGTTAACAGTATACCCGTTAATCATCGTCGTCATCATCCTCTGGGACAAAGATATCATGTTCTTCAAGCAGGGCTGCGAAGTTCTTACTGATCTGAGTGCCAACATACAGGAAGGGAATCACCACGCTGAACACTCTGAGGAGACCGAAGGGCGTCTGCGAGGGGTCGATTGGAAAAGATCGAGCTTTACCAGTAAGTTGTGCTGTGCCTGAGCCCACGCACCGCCGGGGAGCGCAGTCTGACGGCCCTCCGCCGGCTCCCTATCTCTTCCCGTCACCCTCCCGCGGGCCTCCGCGCCCAGCCCCAGCCCCCCTCAGCCTGTTCCCTGTCACTCACCGCCAGCGCCCCACCCACAGCACGTGCTACCGCTCTGATTGGCCACGGCTGCCATCCGTCACGCCGCGATTGGCTGCGCCCCCACCCGCTCGCCCCTCACTCACCTTAACCGGCTTGGGCAAAATGGCGCCGCTGCGAGTAACGGTGGCGCTCCGGGAGGGCACAAGCGACACGGCCGGTGTGAGGCGCGGCCCGCCCCGCCATACCCGTCCCGAGTGAGCCGCGGCCGCGGCCAACAGCCGCCCACCCGCTGTGGTCATCCTCCCTCGGGCTGGGCTCCCGTAACCGCCTAGCCAAGGAGTCACCCGGGGCTGAGGGGCCTCCTGTTCTCGCGAGGCTAAGGGGAGGGGCGAGGTGACCGCCGCGCATGCGTGAAGCGGGGACGCGCGTCACCCGGTGCTCAGCGCGGTTGGTGGGGCGTTGGTGGCTGGTGTCGGTGCGACTCGTGGGGACGGAGCCAGGAAGCTCTTTAGGGGCTCCAATAAAGGGCCCGCGAAGGCTCCACGGAGGATAACCGGACCGGGTGACCCTGCAAACGGGCAGGTCCTGCCGACGCGGACGCTGGGCGTTCACACCTCCGTTGACAGCGCACAGGCTACAAATCAGAACGGTTTATTTGGCTTCACGGCATAAAATACAAACGTCTTGAAATGCAAAATACAATTTCCGCGTGTAAAACAAAGGCGCATGCAAAACCGCCTCTTAGAAAGATACATGTGTACATAAAATACAAGCACTTCAAAGAGGTGAGAGTGTTTCTGCAGGTTGCTCGTAGTGTTGCCGGTAACTGCTGGGTGCTGCAGAAAGGTGCCCCTGCACAGGAGCTCCGCGCATTCCCTGTGAGCTTCAGCAGGGTATTGAGGCTTCTCTGCAAAGGCAGTTGAGAGGGGTAAGATCGGGGGGGATACTACCTCCAAACTATTAATTTGGTAGCTGTTGTAATGGAAAACATCCTGTCTTGGTCGTGAATGTCCATAGGTGAAACCATCCAGTTATTCTTCCTACAGTAACCTGCTAGGACCTGCATTTGATGGAAAAATGTTGTTTTATATAAAGATAGATGTTCAGAAACAAAACAGTAGTCTCAATGTGAAATTCCAGCCTCAGAAAAATACAAGGATTCTGCCAACTGTATTAGCAGGATTGGGAGCCCTTCTTGGCACAGCTTACAAAGGCCATGGCAGAACTGCCCTCCTTTCAGACTTCAGTCTCTTTTAATTTCAAGCATTTTTGTCCCATTGCTTTTGTGTTATTATACTAAAGAAAACTCTTTGAAAATGGTTTGACTTCAGTAGCCATCCCGCTTTAGTGTTCAGCTCCCCTTTTGCAAGGGAACCATTTGAAAATGGTTTGACTTCAGTAGCCATCCCGCTTTAGCGTTCAGCTCCCCTTTTGCAAGGGAACCTGTCCTATGCTGCCCAGACATTTTCTAGCTTTAATAAGGGAAAGAAAAGGCGAGAGGTGAAACAGCCCAAACCTGAATGACCAGAGAAAAACAGTGTGTGGCAATCAGTCTTATTCTGCTGTCGGGGACAATGTGCAATGAAAATTCTGTGCTTTCCCTGTAACGATCTGTGCCTGCAAGCTGACAGAGAGGATACCCCATTAGCCAGACATGTGTGATCTCAGGAAGCTGAAATCCCAACCTTCTGCCCAGGGGCTGCTTCAAAGGCGCTGCCAGCACAAGCGAGTCTCAGCAGAGCTGGTTTGATAGCTCCATCTCAGAGGAGGTGGTGGAGCACACAGGTGCTTCCTGCCTAATGAAGCAAGTGGCAGCGGTCATTAAAAACCCAGTACTCCCAAACAGATTTGAGCAGGACTCTAATTACAGCTCTTTTTACTCACAAAAGGGCCATCCCTGCTACATGAGCAGGATGATGAAGAAGCCCTGATCAAACTCATTCAAAGTCACGCAGCACTTTGGTGACCTAGCAAAGACCCGGGCATGCACAGCTCGGCTGAGGACAAATACCGACTGGGATTCAGCCATTTCCTTCTCGGTGCTGCAGAATGAACCACAGAATTACTCCAAATGCAATCAGACGGAAGGCAGAGAGCAGCGCCTCATTTGCCGGATTGAGGATTTAGCTGGGATATGTGCTAACGTAAAGGCAGGTAGCGTGCAAATTGTGCCATTTGAATGGGACAGATTAAAGCATTAAATATAAGCTCTTTAGTAGTGTTATTAGCACAATCCTGGCTTATTAAAACAAACTAAGCTTCTTAAAAGTGAAACTGCCCTTAAATGAATAATACAGTTTCAGCTCCAGTTTTGACAGAACTGGCTTTGTTAATTTATTTTCCCTTTCAAGGCACTCACGATTCTTGGGTCTCATGTAGGAATTGCCATCACATTTTGATTTATTTTGGAAGTTAAACTGCCAAACTGCCGTCAAAACTGCCTTATGTAAGTCTGAGGCATCAGGAATATTCTTCCCTCTGTATTACATGGAAGAGAAAAAATAACCACTGAAAAGTACTTGCTAAATCCAACGCTGGTCCCAAAATACCCACACTCAGAGTGAGGAGGCACCAAGCAGCGCCATCCCTTGACACTGCTGCCATGACATGGGGAAGGGCACAGGTTCCCAGCTGGAAATGCTGCAGCACTGAACGATTCAAGCAGCAGGTAGGGAGGCAGAGCCGGCCCCTAAGTCCAGCCAGCTGGGCTGCGGAAAGAGCCTGGACACTGGCCCGTGGCCATCTGCTCCCAGTTTTTCTGAATTGTTCTCACTTAAAAAGCAGAATAAAAAGAATCCTCCCGAACTCAAAGATCCTTACTGTGAAGAAAAACAGGCACAAACTGGAGAGGACTGGATTGCATTGCTCGCATGTGAAGGTAACACACCCGCTGCCCGGAATTGCATCTGAAAGATCTGATTTAAGATCTGATTTCCTGTAATATACCACAGAGCTATAATTAGGCAGGAGGCTGGAAGCTCACCATCCAAAACTATCAGAGGTATGTTTTCAAAGGCACCAAGAGTTAATGGAAGTCTTTTGATTTCTGCATTGGCAATCTCTACTGGCTATTGCAAAGTATTAAGCTGAGTGCATGTAACTCCAGAAAAGCAAATAGGTTCCTACCCATCATGACCTGAAACTGCCTCTTGGTTTCCCAGCAAGGCTCCTTAAAAAAACAGAGCAATAAAACCAGGTTTAACACTGGTAGATAAGAAGCACAAGATTGTTTTGTATATTTTTCCTGTTTTGAGAAACAGCCATTGCCAGGGAGGGGATTTATAGGTGTTAGAGCCCCTGGAGACAGCATCCACCTACTTATACCATCTGCTTCATGGCCAAGGATTCTGACCTACTGAAGGGCAAGTCTGTTTCTGCAGCAAGGTGACAGGCATGCCTCCCTGCTGCACTCCTCACATTCTGGGAGCATGCGACATGCTACAGATATCAGCCGAGTGATGCTGACATGAAATCAGAGGGAAGCACCGGCAGGTCAGGTGCTGGCTTTGGTAGAAGGCAGTGATACAGCTTTGACGCTGGAGAGGCAAGCCCGGACACTGCTGACACACAGTCAATGCTACCTGTAACTCACTCCCACACCCCCACTTGTGGGAGCAGCCCTCTCCTACTCCCCACTCCTCCAACTGCACAGCTCTGCCCGGAGCTGGGCAGAGCCACAACAGCGCAAGAGGCCCTGCAAGAATGTGGCTGTGGGCACTGTCTCAGGCACACTGCCCAGTGAGCCTGCTGAGCCCTACATGGCACTTTGCAGGAGCAGAGAAATTCATCCCTGCCCAGGCAAAGAGGCTTTAGCGTCCCTGTTTTAGAACAAGGAAGGCTTGTGATGGAGATATTAACAGGCTTGGCTACTGCTCAACAGAGTCCATATCAGCCCTGGGAGCTTCTGGTCCTTGCTGTTCCTTCGGACCAGGCTCAGTGTCTCCATTTCAGCCTTGCTGCTGATCTCAGGCACCCAAAGAGACGGATGCAAGCCCATGAAACCCACATCCTGAAGAATTTAGCAGGGAGGACGGTTAGTGCATATGAAAGTAAAAAAAAGACCAGCATGACACAAAAGCCCAGTCCTCATTGCTGCAGCTGCTGGGCCAGCCACAGCTGCAGCATCTCACAGTGTTCTGTGGGGAGAGGCACAAGGCTGGAAGCACCCACCAGGGCCAGTGCCCCTTTGGAGGCATTTCCTAAGAGCCCAGCCTTATCTGCCATGAAAGAGCAAAGGCAGAAGCTTGGCGGAAGACCACAGACAATAATAAATGCTGACCTGTGCAAACTCCCATGCTGAGAAATAAAACCAAAAAATAGTGTGAAGCAAAGGCAGGAGAGGAAGCACACATAGCATCAACCACACCAGGGCAGCAAGGGACAAAGCCCATTGGGTGAGGTTTGTTGCATATGTGCTGATTTGGGCCCCCTCCACACCTCGTACCACTAGCAGAGGAGCATTCAAAGGCAGCTCCGCTGGTATTACACACTCTCCAGCTGTATAAAGCTTCAGGGAAATGAAATGTGAGGTCTGCAGAAGATTTGTGTCTCTCCCACATGCCCCATGAAGCACACACACACGGCACACTCAGCCACCAACCAGGGCAGGGGACAAGCAGTGTCCCTCGTTTTGCTCTTGCTGCCTGGGAGACAGCTTGCTGTGCACTGGCTGGCTGGCGGCTCGCACCCCGTGTTCCCGGTCATGGGTGTCCCCTCTTCTGCCTCTCCTGCCATTCCCGCCTCAGCACTGCGATCTCCTGCCCGTACCAGCCGTGCAGCTTGGAGAAACAGGCTGTCTCCGGCGACACAGGGCTCTCGGTCATGCCTGGCGAGAGGCTGGGTGCTGGGAACCCCGCAGCACTGCCAGCAGCTGAGCGCCGGCGTGGAGGCAGGGGTGGGGGCTTCGCTTGCCCCCCATCACGGTCAGGGCAGGTGGCCCCCCCAGGGACAGCACTACCACTACCCCACGTGGAGTAACCGTTCTCCAGGACAGCAGGCTTCTCCTGGAGAGGCAGCAAGGCAGGGTTGGAAAGGTGCCTCTTCCTGCTGGAGGAGGAGGACCTCCGCGGGGACTGGCGGCAAGCAGCCAAGCTCTTGCAGGCCTCCTCCAGTTGCTTCTCCAGCTCCCTCACCACCAGCCGCATGTAGTCGAAGCTGGCCCGCGACAGAGCCTTCACCCAGGCCTCCATGGCAGCCTGCCCATCAGCCACCAGCACATAAGCCCTGGCACCAGCATCATCAAAGCGGATGGCGAAGGCGAACTCCTCGGCAGCCTCACACAGCTCCACGGTGCAGCCCTCCAGCACCACAAGCCCCACGGGCTCCCGGCTCTCCCGCTCCTCGAAGTAGAAAAGGAGGTTGCCCTTGAGGACGAACCAGCGGCGCTGGTAGGAGG